CGCCACAGATCTCTCAGAAGAATTCACAACATTGACAGCTTCAGCAACATTGTGCCACTCCGTGGATTTTCTCTTATTTGTTTTGCAAAAGCACTTCCTTTCATTTCTCCACCTCACCCACAAGTACCTCAACTTCTGCTTGTGAAATAGTGCTTCCTTGATCTGCAGTCGCGATCGAAATGCTGCAACAAGCCGGCTTATGTATATGCATGAGATCCACAAGGCACTTTGCATTGACCATTTATGGCAGAAAGTGGGCGTAGTGAGGGCGGTATGTGACTAAAATGCAGCTGAGAAACATTCTCATTAGTCTCTGATGTATGAAGCGGAGATTGCGTGCAGCTGTGCGTACTCCATGTTTGATAGATCACAAACCTTCTTGGCATAAGTACATTTTTTTGCTGAGCTTAAGTGCAGTTTTAGTAAGGATTCTACGCAATGTTTGATAAATGAGACGCCTGAACCATTGCTTTAAGTTTTCCTGAAATAAGTGTCATATATCCATGACTAATGCAGTTTTTTTATCCTTATCCTTGTGTCGGCAATTAAATGTGTTAATTTACCTTAATGGGTATTTTAAAACTGTCTGTGGATTTCTTTTAGTGATGGGATTTATGGCTCTTTCATGGGAGCCGTTCATTAGTCAGTCATTTACCTCAAAGAGACGTTCAAAAGACTGGCTCCTTTGAATGAAGTGAAGCCAACAGAGCGCGGGGGGTGGGGTAGGGGGTGGGGGTGGGGTAATCAAGAGCAACGTCACGTCTTCCTGCGGTGTCCATGAGGGAGCACGGGGTTGGTTAGCGTTCCTCCTGAGATATGTATATAAACACGTGTTTCTATGGTTCCTCCTATGTCCGTCACAGCGGTGGGTGGGGTTTGAGCGGGTGAGTTTGAACGACTTCCGGGGAGGTTTGTTAAGATGAACGGCTCTCTACAGGGACTCGGCTCTCATCATTCCCTTTGAATACCCGTTCAAAAGATTTGATTCATTTGTGAACGTCACATCACTAATTTCTTTGTCCTATAAATAAAACTGAGGTACATTTTTCAGACTGAATTAAATTATCAGGTGAAAGTGTCTTTAGTTGTATGTTTCTGTTTATGTATTTGGTAGATTATTTCATCCAAAGCAACCGACAACTATAAACTACTTACAGGAAAGAACATTAGTGAGAGGTGATGGGTTGAGAGTGTAGAAAATAGATCTCAAGCATAAAGGGAGATGCACAAAGACAGTTTGGTAAAGTAGGGACAGGGAAGTGCTGGAAAGGAGCTAGTCTAGAGGTTACTTTCTTAAGGGTTGGGTCTTCGGGAGTGTCCTAAAGATAGGCAGATGTGCACATGTTCTAGTAGTGCTCCATAATGTATTCCACAATTGTGGAATGACACATAAAAAGTTAGATACTGTTAGCTCATAATATTTTGATGAAGGGACGTAAGCCTTTAGAAGAGGATTCAAGAAGATGGGAGCTGTTCCATTCAGGACTTCGTTGGGTAACATTAGTGACAAATTTGATGTGGGCAGCTAAGGGTAGCCAATGGAGCTCAACAAATAGAGGGGTGACTTGTTCTCTTTTAGGCCAATTGAAGACCGGACATGCCATAGCATTCTGGACCATTTGAATAGGTCTCACAGTACAGACTGGAAGACCAGTTAAAAGGGCATTGCTGTAGTCAATGTGGGAGATGGCCATGGCTGAACCAGGAGTTGGACAGCATTAAGTACAGCCGGATCTTTTGCATGTTAAACAATGCAAATCAGCACGGAGATGTGCAATATAAGTTCAACTGGTCATCAATCACGACACCCAAATGTCAAGCTACTTTTAATGGAATAAGAGATAGGGAATCAGTTTGGATTCAAAGATTGTGTTGTATGGTTGGCTTTGGGTGGGAGGAAAAACATTTCAGTTTTACCTAGGTTGAGTTGGTAGTGGTGGGTTTTTATCCATTTGGATATGTCAGAGAAGTAGTCTAAGATCCATGCTGAGACTTTGTGGTCACCAATGACAGATAAAGTGGGGCGTCGTCAGCATAGCAGTGGTAGGAGAAACAATGTGGTCGTATCTGGTTCAGTGAGGTGGTGAATCTTTTAACTCGCATTGGTTTCAGTCAAGGAGGTTGTTTTTTGAAAGGTATGCGGCCTGCTAAGTTAGGCACAGGAACAGAGAGACAGGACTAATTCTCCATGAGTTGGAGGGAGGGAAGATTTTTCGAGCAGCTATGTAAGCTGGACACACTTGATTTAGCTGGGAAATGTAATCGGGTGTGTGACTGCTGCAGGACCATAGAAACTATGAATTGTAGTTGTAGGACAGCTACATGTGAGAGGTTTTGACACACTGTTCTTGCTGAGAGGGGAGAATGAATGCAGCAGGACGTCTGCATGCTGAGTTGGTGATATTCTTGATTTGGGAAGGTTTCATTGGGGACATTTTTTTTTGTAAAAAAAAAATGAGACTCAGTCTGTAGTTGTTGTGTCCTTGGGCAAGATGCTTCACCCACCTTGCCTGCCGATGTTGGTCGGAAGGACTGATGGTGCTTGTCGGTGTACCCCAGGGCAGCTGTAGCTTATCACCACCAGTGTGTGAATGTGCGTGTGAATAGGTGAATGACTATTGTGTTATAAAGCACCTTGGGGAGTTGTAGGACTCAAGAAGGAACTAAATAAATACAGACCATTTACCATACTCTTCTAGGCTACGGTGGCTCATCCCTTTAGTTATGCTACTGCTATTGTAGGCTGAGTCCTGGAGGATTTATTTGCTCACTCTGCTGGCTTTACCCTCTTCACTCTTAAGGTGTGCATTGCTGCCATAAAGTTTGTCTTAGCTGTTTATCTTCCTCAGAAACGATGACTTGTCCAATGTGACTGTGTTTGATTCTTTTCTGTCTTCCCATGGGCCTTTTCCATTTGTACCTATTTAGCAACTTGTTTTAGTGTTGTTTCAAGTTGTAACAGAATGAAATGACTGTTTCCCACCTAAAAGTCACCCCCCCCCCTCCGTCCTCTGACACAGAACTGATCTGCATGACATATTGCCTCAAGGTCTCATGCATTTGCTCTAAACTGCTTCCTTTCCAGCCCAAGAGAAGAATGAAGAAAAGGACTCTTTTTAATAAATCAAAGAACTCTATTTTTAATAAAGCTAATCAAACAAAGTGTTAGTCAATAATAAGATGTGACCAATCTGTAAAATCAAAATATTAATTACTTTATTATAATCCTATAGAATATAATAAGTTATATGACTTTAAATGTTTCCACTAGGACTGATCTCACGTAGCGTTAAGAGACGACACACTGCTTTTACTGATCCAATCAGAATCTGCCAGATCTGACGGAGGCATGGTTTTGGTGGTGTTTGGTAAATCCGTCACCTTTTCATTCGACCATAAACCAAAACATCCAAAGTATGAAACTATGCCCACGTCATCTTTAACGCCAGTTCAAAGCGTTCGAGAGAAGTTGATGGAGTGGCCAATCCGTGACTCTCCTCTTCAGCCGAAAGAACCAACGACAAGCTGGATAAACCTGTTCCCGTTCCACCTGCTGCAACAGTTCCTTTCAGAATAAAAGCTGAACTCACTGACCTTCTGGGTCCATCTGACGCTGTCAACCAACTGTCGCTTTTTACCTGGAGACAATCCAAAGACTAGTCTGTCGTACTGCTGACGCTGTTTAATCGGCTCCAGTACCGAAAGAGGGGTTTGAGGACCTGGCATTCTGGATCTGTACGGAGGTCTCATTCTAAGGGTATGTGTGGAGCGACAACATGGTGTCGAATGTGTTTATGAATCTCCTAATCAAAGCTTAGCGCAAAGACATCACCTTCACTCCCACCAGAACTAATCGTTTCTACGGATTTGCTGGTTCTGAACAACATTCCACATTACACCATTCTCTGTCTCATTTCACCTTAGTAACACCATACATTTAGTGTTTAAGTTAGTCTAGTTTTAGTTGGTTAAGTAATAAATCTTTTAACTTTTAAAACTTGACTCTTCTGTTGTCTCTGAGTGAATATGAAGCTGTTACATAATCCCTGCAATAAAAAGTTCCAATCTTCTGGTTAAAAAGTACCCACAGGTCCACAAGATTGATTCCATATTCATTATAGAATCTCATGTTTTATGGTCCATTAAATAACATGCAAATTAACCCATTACAAAGTTGTTTCCATTAGTTATGGGTTTGTGGTTGCCTCCACCTTTTCATTATCTGTTTCAATGTAGTGTAGTGTACCAAGCCAGGCCGAAAATGCAACTTGAGACACTGTCGGTCACTGACTGGCGACAGGGTGGAGTCACTGGTTATCCTTGAGTGTTCCGTCTTGCTTAAAATTGAGTTTCCTGCCCAGCTGTTATCATCCTTGCTTAGTAAAGATTCAGTGCAATCTGCTAGCTCTCTTTTGTGAGGTAAAATTGACTAAGTGGCATTGTAGAATCTGGGTCTAATTTAGAGGCTGCATGGCTTCACAGCAAGGTCATAGTTTTGAAATCCTACCGGGGGCTTTTCTGCATGTAGTTAGTGTTCTCCTCGTGCATGTGTGGGGTTTTCCCTTAAACTCTGATCTCCCATAGACCAAAAGCATGCATGTTCGGGTTAATTGGAGACTCTAAATAGTCCCAAGGTATGACTTGGTGTATGACCAATATGTCATTTCATGCCTGATGACTACTGGAGACAAGCACCCACTCTCCACTTAAGTAGGTGAGTGCATCTGATTTAATTTCAGTTTCAGTGAATATACTGCATAAAATTGGCATGGATCTTAAATGAGTTGGACTTGCTGCTACATTCTGTGCTGTGCTTTGAGTTGAATTTGCGTTTAATTAATAAACTGAACGTGCTGCAATCCACTCAGATGTAATGCTTGAGGGGGGAGATAACAGATCTGATGTGGCACCCTGTCCTGTGAGACTCCCCCTGTAAGTGGATAAGGGAGCAGGAGCCAGAGGGCCCTCCTCGGGGCCCCCAGTCCTGCAGCAGCAGCAGCAGCAGCAGCACCTCTCTCAGTCAAGCAGCGGGACTCCAGGCTCTCACTTCCCCAGCTGCTGACGTCAGCTGGCAGCCTGGGCTGAGCTCGCCGCTCCGGACATAGCGCCGAGGAAAATGCTGCTCTCCGTACCGCAAAGGGCAGGGATCAACCCGTACATCGGCTACAACAGCAGAAACAGCAAAAAGGTAAAGGCTTTCTGGGCTTTGCCCGCTCGCGCGCAGCCTGCTCGCCCCGCTGGGCAACAAACGCACGTCTGTCGCGACAGAAAGAGAGAGGAGAGGCATCTTGTGACAACAGTGAGCTGCAGTGTCCTTGAACAGCTAAACGGACTGAATTTAACTTGCGAGTTGGCGGAGTGAATGCCCGGAGACAGGAGGAGGACCGCGGCACCGATCCGCTCCGCTGTTCCCCCGCCTGCTCGGTCCCGTCACGCCGGACGCCCGCTGATTTATTCCTGTAGTGTTTGTCTGTGTCGGTGCCAGAGTCGGGACGCGGCTCTGCTCACTCGTTTGGAAAAGTCAATGGTGGAGAGAGAGCAACTTTTATGGGTACCGAGCTGGGATAGCTCCGTGCCTGGATGTGTTTATGGAAGTGGGGGTAGGGAGAGAGGAGGAGGGGGAATAACTTATTACTAAGGATTTCTGACGCATCCTCCGTTTATTAATCTGCGGATTATGTTAAATTCGTCTTAAGTTTCTTTTTCTAATGTTGTTTTTCCTGCTGGTTTCTCATCTGAAACGGAACACGCCCCACCCCTCGAAAAATCCCACCTGAACATGATGACTGCATTTCCAGAATTAGGAATCGCGCTTGGCTCACGTCCACTGCGGACAATTAGGCTCCTTTAAAATGCATTTAAACGTTTTTATTGGAGCTAATCAATTCTTTAAGTGAAGGCCGATTTTCTGTGTTTTCCTCAGTCTCCTATTGTCTGTCATCTGTGGACAAGAACTAAATGTTAACATTCAGCCTATTTCTGCGCTCCTCTGCCTTTTTAGCTCCTGAACAGTGGATGGCATCTTAAAAATGCATATTGGCAGATTGTCTTTCTGTGATCCTTGTCTCCGCTTGGCTGCTCATCCTCACAGATCTGATGTCCACATCTGTGTCTAAAGAGAACAGACTTGTCTTCCAACTCTTTTTTTCTTTCCACACAGACTTTGAATCAACTTTATTATGTTTTTAGCTAATCTCCATTTTCAAACTGTTGACTGCATTTAGACACTAATGGAAAGTGGTAAATGATGCTGTTTTCAATGAGATGCAAGTCTTGATGCAAACATTTAGTTTAATCATTAATTTGTTGATCTATCTTCCAAATGTTTAATATTTCTATACAATTTCCAACTCACGCCATCCTTAAAGTGACAATCTGTAGTTTTTACCACTAATCTCTGGAAATATCCATTGAAATGTTGTTGTAAAGGAATTAAAAGATACCCAGTAGTTGAAATGTATGGGCAGTTTCATAACATGTAACCATAGAAATTGGGTCTAAAATACATGGGAGAGGGTCAAAGGCCCAATCCCAATACTCGCACTTGCGCCCTTCAATTGCGCGTTCTCGGTCAGGGTGCGATCACGTAGGGTGTCCCGATTCTCAAGTGCGGAAGTTGACCACGCCCCCATTGCATCCTCAATCTGCACTTCACCTAAATCTGCAGCGATGTGAACCTCAGGCAAGGGTATTACCCACAAGTCATTGGTGCACCTTTTCAAGATGCAGGAGAATAGGCTCAAGTTCCTTTTCTGAAAATATGTGTTGTCTAATGAAATTAGTTAATTTTAAGACGATTAGTTCATGCTCTAAAACTTTTAGACAAAGCAGCAATAAATGCAAATTTATTTCAAATAACTATTTGGCTTTTTTAAAAAAGTTGTTAATAAAGCTTTTTGAAAAATGTGTCTTAGCGACCAGCATCCCGGCATGTGTTGTGATCGATGACGCAATGCTCCCTGTCTCCATTCTGCTATTATTTGCACACTTGTGTACCATGCACTCGAACCCTACTGCACACTTTCTCCAAGTGCACTTTGCTGAAGTCCACAGAGTGCAGTGCGAGTATTGAGACTGAGCCAAAGTCCCTGGGTGACACCATATTGAATGCCATGTTTTCTTCTACGGAAGCCCGTGAGGACAGAGTCCATTTACTGGTTTGTAACAAATGGTTACAAAACCTTCAGCTAGGGCTGCAACAAACGATTATTTGGATAATCGATTAATCGGATGGGGTCTCGACACGATTAATCGATTAATCGGATTACATGGGGAAATTTTTAAAAACTGCTAGGGAAACGTTATTTCTCTCCTTCCTTCACTTTATTTAACACAACATTATTAGAAAACAGTTCAATAGCAGAAAAACAACATGCCATCACCTAAATTGTCTTATAAGGTGTATAGACAGAGACCCTAAGCTACATCTATCTGTGACCTAAAATGCTTGGTCCAAGTTAAACAGCTTAAGGGCAATTCTCATCTGTTTTGTTTGATCTCATCTGTTGACATTTATTTTAAATGTAATTAAACATAGGCTGTGAATTAATCAAAATTGATCACTATTTCCAAAAATGACTGAAAAAATACCAAATAAAACAAAAGTAAATGAATGCCATTCTCCTTGCGATGATGCCCTGGGCAACTGCCATAAAGTCACATCAAGAAATGCTGCTGATCATTCCAATGATCCCAAATAGACTCACATTAGGCCACATGAAAGCAACTGAACCCAAAAATATATTAACCAGTATATAACTGCACTCTCACACAACACGCCTGCAGCAACAGTTAGGACTCCTCCCTCCCTTTTAAAAGCGTTTTTGCTTCCGAGGACATTGTGGTTGTAAAACCACATGCTAGTAGTCTGGCCCCGGTGTGATCAACCAGTTTCTGCGGGAATGTGACGGCGGAACCAGGGCCAGATTAACACTTTGTTGTACCCTGGGCAACAATATTCAAGGGCTCCATCATCACGACCCGAGGATCACCATAATGTGGTCACATACAGAATATTTTACTGTAATATGCAGTAAATATACTCAATACTTGAATGCCTGACAACACGTAACCCGCCCAGAGTAACCTTTGACCCACCTCGTGTGGACTGACCAATGAGGAGAGGGTCTTAACTTGAGGCCCTCTCTTCATTGGTCAGTCTGCATGAGACTGACTCTCAACTGACGTTCAGTCATAGGCAGCAAAGCGTCTCTGTGCAGCGCAAAAGCCCGGGTGGACAGTTTGTTTAATATAGGGTGACCATATTTCCATTTCCAAACAAGAGGACAGGGGATCTGTGCCTATGACGTCACACTATGGTAACGCCACACAAACCATGTTGGGACCCATTTTTTGTAAGAACTAAATTAATATCAGATTCTGCCAATAAAAGGGCTCTAAAACAATTCATATGTAAATATTTTGCATATTTAATGCAAAATCTCATTTTTATGCTTTAGTGCTGCAACAAGGTTTTATTAATAATAAATTATTATACCTTTTGTTTTACTACAGCATCGGTAAGCTTCCTGTGCACAGATTATTAAGGATGCTTGTTCCAGCTGTGAGATTAGACGATAGGATCAATGATAAAATAAGTTGTCACACACTCCATGGAAACTTTCAGATAATCCACAAATAGTGGCTTTCAAATGGTTTTGTTACTTTTTGCAAGTTTAGAAAAGAAGCTGATGAGACAGCATGTCTTATAATTTAGTTTTTCATCTGATATATTAGAACATGTCAGTAATGTCTGAGGGGCTTTTACAAACACCATATAACTAACACTCCTGGAGAGGGCATCAATTACACAGAGGCTTCTGGGGAGCCCAGTTATGGGGGGGGGGGGGGGGGGGACATTTTGCCTTGGCCCCCAAAATGTCTTGAAACGGCCCTGGGTGTGTGACTGAGTTTTGAAGGTGATCTGAATTGTATCAGATGTATAACTATGACATGTGTATAACTTATTGTTTTTTACTGGTAAAAACGTGTAGTGGAGATAAATCTACCTACATTTGACTTTGTTTTCTTGTTTTTATTTAACTATTTTCCTGTCCTGTCTGTCTCTCATCTTCCTGCATCTCCTCATAATTCTCCAGAAAATCTGTTGCCTGGATTCTTACTTTTTCACCTCATCAGTTACTTTTGAGCAGATCAAAGGGATCTCCTGACCGCAAAGCGGAGAGCGCGTTTTCGATGCTGCGTGAGGTGAAATCACCACAGCACAGGTGATGAGCTCCGCAGCAGAGCGCTTCAGGCACAAATAAGACAGAAAATAGAGAACATGTGCAGACAAGAACGATCGTGTGCTAATTATAGTTTTTTGGTTGCGCCACTTTGAGAATGGACCGTGCGCTGGAAGCAGCTGCCTGGATCGCTGTGCAACAATGCGGAACCGGTTCGCAGCAGCGCAAGTCTGCAGACTCTCCCTCGCGCTGATCTGCGGCTCTCCCTCGCGCTGATCTGACTTGCTCTGGTCTGCGCGCAACGGTGGGCGGGGGGGGGGGGGGGGGGGGGGCGCTTTTGGAAGAGTTGTGCGACACAACGAATCGATGACGCAATTCGTTGCCAACGCTTTTAGTAATCGATTTTCATCGAATTCATCGATTCGTTGTTGCAGCCCTACCTTCAGCATTAATAAATGTTGTTCTTTTACACATTTACCTCTTCACTCATTGCAAGTGATGAAAGGGAATCTGATGTTTGTTGTTTTGCTAGAGGTTGCACTCCCCAGGATTTTTTACCTTAATGGGCATCTGTTAGTAAGGTCTTGAATGCGAAAATAATGCTTGCAATGATTTAGGAATCTACTGTCCCCATCACTTGGGAAAATACACACTGTCACTTTAAACCTAGAGCGAGAAGAATGGATCCCACTTTTAACAGCGACTTGCAGAAAATGTTATGTTTAAAATCAAACACACAGTTATCTAAACAAAGTCAAGTTTGGACCTGGTTGTGGTTAAATTCTAGATTAGGGGATTAAACAAGTTTATCAAGTCTACCTTTCTTTCTTATTCTGTATTTTATAAATAAATGTGTTCAGAAAGCTGTGGACTAGAGCTATCCCAAACATCGGATTTGTGAAACAGCATTGCTCTAGCGGCGTCACTAAAGTAAAACACTAAAGTAAAACACTAAAATCAAGTAGTTTTGGTTAGAACAACATGGAGGGACATTTGGTTAGTG